GGCAGTAAAGCAACATTAAAGTGGACTGATCTTCTGTTAAAGAAGTCGAGGAATAAAATGTGTGGCCCTTCACACCTTATCGCTCGTCTCTATAGATTCTTACAGATGTTCCATATTCCTGCTGGTTTCTGATCACCACTTGCATCTCTTTCAATAGTGCTGTAGAGTTAGTTTATCACTCTGCTGGAGGCCACTTTAAACTGCAGCAATCTGGATGAAGAGGAGGTTTTGCTGGGTAGTATTGGAACAAAGTTCAAATTAACTATTTCTAAGTATTTGGAGGGGCATTAACTCCTCCGATTTTTATCTTTTCCAAGGAAAGAGAGGTAGTGTTTTTCTCTGACCTAGTTAATACAGGAACGCTTACATAATGTAGTCCTCGTCATTCTGGTTGACGAAGGTTTGGGGTTGAAAGATTACTCAACCATAGTGCTTAATCTGCAGGTTATGACAGAAAAAGAGGGAGGGAGAGGTGTGTGTGTGTGTGTGTGTGTGTGTGTGTGTGTGTTAGGAGAAGTAAGAAAATCAAGGCTGAAGTCTGACTGCGCTTACGTATACACAAGGAAGCATGCAAACACACAAGCAGACACACATCAGCACATTTAACAGGTAGAAATGTATGACTATGCGTGGTGTTTTCTGGACAATCTATCCAGCAGCAAACTTAAATTATTGACAGAAACTCCTCCTTTTACCTGCTGATAAAACCAAATTCACACTCTTCACCACTTAAAATACATGAATTTCCCCTAGGGGATAAATAAAGTATCTATCTATCTATCTATCTATCTGTCTATCTATCTATCTATTTTAAAAGATATTCCTGGTGAAGGCCCTTTTCTTATTCTTTTTTTTCTTACACTTTTCCCGGAGTTGTTGCCATCCCCTTCTCAATCACAGTCTGTTTGCAATTAGGACTTGTATGAATGCCTGTTTTGTCCTCCTGAAACTATTGCTTAAGTTTCTTTGGATAAGAATATCTCTCTGTCTCCTTCCCACCTTTACACTACAAATATAATGTGTAATTGCTTTAATAGATTTCCACCTAGGTTTGAACTTTATCCCTAGGGGGTGTGTGTGTGTGTGTGTGTGTGTGTGTTTGTGTGCGTGTGCGTGTGCGTGTGCGTGTGTGTGTGTGTGTGTGTACAGTGGTTAAGATCAGGTGACAGCAGCAGCTTTATGGTTGATCATTAACAGTTGCACAGAAAGTGGTGATAATGATAGTCTTGTGTATAGAATGACCTGTTGCAGTGGTTGGATGAGGGGGTTATAAGCTCATATAAAACAGAAAATAATAAACGAAAAGTAATAATTAAGTGAATACTTAAAGTACTGCCCAGAAAATTAAACTGTGGTCTTGACATACTCGGTGTGAGTGAGATCAAAGGCTTCTTTTAATTCTTTTTCAAATGAATTTGAGCTTGATTCCTTATTATCGGTGCTGTACAAGAAACGCCTCTTCCACATTGTGTAGCGGATTCTGTGAGCACATATTTTCACACAAATCTAGGATGACGAATGTTTAGACGGAGGGTAATAAATTCAACGTTGTTGGTGTGCTGGTTTGCTTCTACTGCAGTTTGGTGAACTTTAACCAGTCTGCTCTTATAGAACAGGCTGGGAAGTTAATATTTGTGAACACACAAACACACACTGATCCCTTCTTTTTGTCTTGGCTGTTTACACTTTGTGGTCATTGTCCATCACCATAGCAACACATCCTGCCACTGGTCCAAAGGGGAACAAGGTTTAAAGACACAATGCACAGTAGTAGCCATAGTGTACACTGGTGTAGAAGCATAGACAAACAATATGTAGTTGTCGTGGTTGAAAGCACCCTTAAGAGTGTAGTTTGGTTCCTTGGTTTGGACTGGAGAAAAACACTACATGCATTGTTCCATTTAAGTACTTGTATTTTTGTGTGTGTGTGTGTTTGCGCTGACTTATCACAAACCAGCAGAACACTGAAGACATGAATTCAAATGGACTGACATGTTACTAATTCATTGTACAGTTTTCTTACTGTTATCTTCCACTGCGTCTTTTGGGTTGGTCAGAGGCAACTTGAAGTGAATGAAGTAACAGCAGGTTACGATGCAACCTGCCACATGCAATGAAGAAGAGGTAGAGACAGAGGACAGAGATGAGGTCCAGCTTGAAAGGCAAAATGGGATGGGCCTAAAACCCCTATATCCACCCAATGGGGGGATTTAGGTTGGGGGACTGGATTAACTAGTAGTTTTTGTTTAATATGTATAACTCTGGAATATCATAATAACCGGTATGTACAATATATATGGCAATGTATACTATGTGTGTCATATGTCACATTACTCACCTGCAGATGGTTTGAGCACACTTGCATATGTGAAAATATGTATCGGGCTGGGTGTTATAAAGTTATAATGTAATAAATATTGATAAAAAAAATATAAAAGTAAAAATCATTGTTAAATAAAACATTGTGGATGCTAGTTAGGTTTCACTTACTTTTTATCGAGGACCTGCCAAAAGTCGGACGCTACAGCACAAAACACCGCTGTTTAAACCCTGAATACTGAGGAAAATCCCCAAACTCACATCTTGACATGCTTATTCGTTACCATGGTTACTAAATGATCTTGCATAATTGCGGTATACAGGGGATTGGACAGCATACAAATTGTGAAAATTTGCTTATTTTAGCTCCTCAATTCGTACAAGTGTCACATATCCACAGTCACACAATCCTGTGGCCGGGCCACCATGTGTTCTCACCACAAACAAACCACACCACAGTTTGTGTGGAAGTGGATCGAGGCCAGTGACAGTGCTGAAACCAGCCGAAACGAACCAGAATGAACCAGAAAATACAAGAGTTTATTTGAACTGGACCAAAGAGCTGAGGTATAAAACCAGATCTCCACAGCATGCTTATAATGTTACAGAATAAGAGAGAGTATTACAAGTTCCTAGGAAGCAGCCACAGAGTAGCACTGTATAAAAAAAGTCCCCCATTACTCCCTATTTCTTAGGCTCTGAAGTTCTTAAAAAATCATCCCCCACTCGTCCCTTGGTAATCTGAATCAAGACATTCCACAAACAGAGACTTCCGGAGCCATATTTATCTCCACAAACTGCACAATCCAGATCTGGGAAAAGTTACTCTGCTGCAAATTACCATCTGCAGAATATTCCAGTCAGGAAACTCCACAAAAGTGTAAACAGCATAATTGTTATCATGCACAACAAAGATCAGTCATTGTACAATGTTGTAAGTGCAACACGTACAAAATGTTTCAAACTATTTCACAGTAATGCAACATGATTACCCAAATTTTTTAAATAATCCTTTTGTTTGTGTGCGTTTCTCAGTTACTGTGGGCCATTATTGTAACAAGTGGTTTATTTTTTCTCTTCTTTTTCCAGATTGCAGCCTTGATACACAGAATCCAGTGCTCTGACAGTACAAGGGGTGGTGCCTGTGCCTGCTGATTGCTCAACACAAGCTCTCTCTGGGAATATGAAGAGGAAATTGCAACAGTGTATTTTCATGAACTTCTGCTTAACTTGAAAATGTGCCTTACACAATCCCATGTCTTAAAGAGATTTTTATCTTTCAGCCTCTGAACCACGGTCAACTAACTTTGCTCAGAATTGATCGATGAAATCCGCTGGAAGTTGGTAATGACAGCGGCTGAAAATTTCCAGTGAAGAGAGAGAGCATTAAGTGTAATACCATAATGCACTCTCCCAAAAAAGTGCACGGCTCAACTGTTCACTGGTTAAATGAGTTTAAACACAAAATACTGTATGTCAGATAAATTAGATTTTTTAATGTCCTAAAAAATTAAAAATGAAATATAGTGTTTTAAAGAAGCCCTTTTGGCACTGAATGTACCTGTGAGTCTTTGCTGTTTCATTACCTGTGACTTTGGGATTTTCCCCCATTCTTCCCCATTGTTTTACTCATTGGTTTACTCAAGCATTAAATGAGGAGCGTCTGTCAATGACTAGCCAAGTCATCCCAGGTAGGCTATTTTCGGCCATGACCCACTTGTGGATTATTATTATTATTATTATTATTATTAATTTGCATTATTTTCATTCCTCCTGCTGCCAGATTTCCAGGTGTTTATTAATTAGTATCTGTCTTTCGCTGACATTTAGCCCAGTGAAGAATTGTCTGGAATTTCCATAATGTTTTAGATTTCTCAATTGTAGAGCTTTGGTGCCTGCTGCTTGACCCATTTGACACACAGGGTGTTACACCAGCTTGGAGTGTCATTTATAACAGCTCTCAAAACATTGCAGCCTCTACTTGGAAATGAGAAGCAGTGTGACGGTGTGTGTGTGTTCATGTGAGCTCATCTAAATATTGCACTGTATACACAACACAGACACTGTATGCCACAAAACACAGTAGGAGAGACAGACAGAGGGACAGGCAACTCCACACACAGCAGGTTACTCCTCTGTTTCTGTTGCTTGTAATGAAATAGAATACTTATATAAATACATATGAAGTCTTACATGTGAAGTGCAAATGTTCCCAACTCCTGTCCTAATGAAAATCAGTATGAAGCCGACTTATGATGTTGTGAATATTCCTGAATCAATTCACAATCTTAAAGTGAAATCATGGCATTAACAGGAATAATTTTTATCTACCACTAATTAAAGAATGCTGTTTCATTTTCTTAAAGCCAGATACTGTTTACAACATTGGGCCAATATTGTTGACTGTATCCACGCCTCAATTATATTGTGTCAGTATAATAACATGCCACATTCAAGGCAAAGCATACCTCTAACTATACTATTCCTTTATTCTTACCCTTAAATTTCCATCAAATGTCTGAAAGGTATAATGACTGAGTAAGAATCTAAACTGTACATGTGAAGATGCAAGATATAATAAATGTGTAAACTTTAATTAATGCGAGTGGTATGTTTTTGCTCAGACTGCAAGATAAGAAAACATCCAGTTCTCATGGAATAACAAATGAGTCAAAAAAGAGCAGCATACATTCTTTTCTTTATTCAGAAATTTATTTAGTCCCTTTCAGGAAATTAAAAATATAAGATTCTCTTTTTTACTGCTTTTTCTCACATTGGTATTTCACAGAGCTTGAAATATTTCTCCATAAATAAAGTACAAAATACATTTTTCTTTTCGTTAAACACAAATAAATATCATAATAAATATATTAGTTTAAGTTAAACACAAGGCGACCAATAACCATAAGGAATACTGTGGTGTTAAAGTCCCTGAACCAGGTTGTCAAACAAACAGGGGACGATATAAGATGGGGTGCAACAGAATGTTTTACAAAAAAAAAAAAAAAAATTAAATCTGAAGTATGTCAGGATACAGACATTCAAGATCTAAACTCACTGACAAACGTTTTCTTCTGTTAGCACACTTTGATCTTCCAGCATTCTGAAACTCATCTACGCTTGCACCCCAGGTCTCAGAAAAATGACAAGGTTACACACATTCATCCACACATGCGTATATACAGACACACATACACACACACACAGACGCACACAGAGCAGAGTGAAGTATGAAGCTTTGGTTGAATGCTACTGGGAGATTCAACATTCTCTCCCGTTTGAATTAGCTGTAAAGTGCATATCACAGATTAAATGGCATCAATGACACGTCAGGTCTCACTGATTAAGGCTACTGAATCAAACATACTGTTCGTGGCACTGAGAGTGAATAGCCTATGAGACAGGGAGAATCTTTAAGGCACTGGAATTAATGGTTATCACTTAACAATTTACACTAACTATGAACCAGACTATTTACTGGTGCTGTCAAGACCTGCAGAAGAGTTAGCTCCTATGGAAGACCACATACAAAGGTCCAATAGGCTACACAATATTTTGAAGTATAAAAATAGAGTCTGATACATTTGGGTACTAATCTCAGTATGTGTAGTTTGTCCAAGAAAAGTTCCATTTTTACAAACATAAATTAAGTTTTAAGTGTTATTGTGTCCTCTAGAGCTGATAAGTTCTGGTTGTGAAGTTAAGTCCAGATAGACAGACACAGTTAAGTGTCAGTTCTCTTCTGTTTGTTTCCCTTAGTCAGACAGGGACAGACGTTCAAACACGGTGAGCCTCTTGGTGGCTGATCCATCGAACGTTGGAGACTCGGTTCCACTGGAGCCTCCGCTGGAGCTGCTGTAGCTGTCCTCCAGGGAGTCCTCAGAGGAGAAACGCTGGAGTCCAGCAGGCTTCATGAACGCTCCGTGGCCTCCAGTGCCAGGAAACAGCTTGCTGCTGTCCTGGTGGTGGTGCCTGTCCTCCTCCTCCATGCTGGTGAAGACTTTACTGTTGTTGCTGTTAAAGTTATTTCCATGGCCACACACACAGCGCGAGGCCTTTGGCTCCAGGATGAGAGGAATGTTGTGGATGTCTCCAGCGCTGGCACGGGTCTGATGGTTGCCAAACTGGAATGCTGCTGCCTCCCGCTGCAGAGAGTCGACAAACACTGGGGAGAGGAGATCAGCAGGAGGTGGAGAAACTGAGGGAGCACGGCTAAACCCCACGTTCAGATCATTGAAGGATGAAGGGAATGATGGAGGAGATGAGCTGCGTGAAGAGCCCAGGAACCCAGCAAAGCTGACACTCTGGCGGAGCTGGTGGCGTGGGTTCTGAGCACTGGGCGCTGTGGGAGTTGGCTGCCGCTGATTAGGGAAATTGGCAGACGCTAACGGACCTCCGCTGATTTTCTCCTCATGGATGAAGTGGCAGCGTGAGCCGTAGGGGCAGTAGCCAAAGTTGTAGAAAGTTCTGCAGGGCTCCGTCTTGTACTTTGGGTGGCGGTACAGTCCTCTCAGCTCTGCCTCGCCGTGGGCAAACTGGCACTTACTGCCATACTTGCAGCTGCCGGTCTCCTGGAAGCCACGGCACAGCTCAGTCTTGTAACGGTTAGAGGACAGCATTGGAGGGATCTGGGCTGGGAAGGGAGACGAGGGAGGGAAGCCCGGCGGGGGAGCCACAGTAGTAGTAGCAGGGACCGAGGGGAAAGCCTCATGGTTCTTCAGCTGTCCAAAGGAGGAAAGCAGGCTGCTACTGGACTCGGTCAGGCTCATGGAGCGGTCAGGTCTGAAGGGGAGCTGTTTCGGTTTGGAAACAGGGCCCTGGCTCCAGATATTGGATGACCAGAAAGGGCTGCCATTGTCGTCATTATTAACATGCTCAGAGCTCAAGCTGTGGCTCGAGGATTCAGGAGGGGAGGGGGGAGAGAAGAAGGAGGCTGACCGGTTCAGCCGACTCTGCCCTGGGACTTTGGGTTGCGTCTGTGCCGGGAGTAAGCCATCATCCAGGTTCAGCTTCATAAAGTTCTGCTAGAAATGATTGAAATAGTTTTAGACATCCAAATTCCTTATTTCAAACAATATTTATTGAATATTCATGATTTTCAAATCAACTACTTAGATCACATCATTACATTTCCAGAGAATGCTTGCATAGGAAAAACTGTCAAAACAAAGTCATTAAAAAGGAAATTAAAAAAACAACTGTACTAGATTTTGTAGAACCATTATCTGACATTTAGGCTACATGCAGTCATAAAATACAAATTAGATGCAGGTAATTGCAGTGGTTTGACTGTTTTTTCATTCCTCATGAATATTCTGACACTGGAAGATAAACAACCCACCACGGTGTCCCTGCTTTCTCCCATTAAACTACAGAAATCCTTCAGCTGTGGCTTAACCGAGTTTTGCCGAGTGTTACCGAGTTTAACCTCTGTTAAATCTGTCATTCCCCGAGGAATAAAACGAGCAGGCGTAAACAAGAAACAAACATTTTAGGAAACGAACCCGCCCCAACTTCACGACAGCTTTTTTTTTTCGTTCCAAAACACAACAACAACAACAACAACAACAACAACAACAAAAACATTCATAAACTTCGACTCACCTTCGTGAAGATGTCGTCGAGCATTTCGGACATGCTGTACCTCTTTGGCCAAAAAAGAAGAGGAAGATTCAGCTCCAATCCAGAATTGACTGTTTGTAACTTGTGTCTAGACTGAAGTCAAGTTAACTCTAAGCTCTGGAGCGCGGCTTTTATAACAGCCTACAACACCTCTCGGTTTTGGGAGGAGTTTCCACTCGCCATGTTCCCGGATGACCCTCCCTCCTCCGAGTCAAGTTTCACAGTCACAGTGAGCTCAGATGGGCGGGGAGTAAAACAACAACAACTAAAAAAAAAAAAAAGAAGAAGAAGAAAAAGAAACCTGTGTATTTTTAGCTAGCTAGGCGAAATATTTTAGTTTCAGTAGCATGTGAAAGGAAATCGGCTTATTTACATAGGTTCTCCATTTGGGAATATAGTATTTTTTTATGTTTATTCTCATTCTGTACATGTTCATTCCTACTCTGCACAGTGAGTGATAAATCATTGCAGCTCTGTGAAATATTTCAGGATCAGAGGCACCCAGATGTGAAGTGGCAGAGTGAAGACTGGTTGTTTGTTTAGCCCTGATCTTTTTCATCCTGCATTAAAAAGTAGAGCAGGGCTTTTCTATACCAAACACGTGAACACGCACCCAGGCACGTAACCATATATTTACAGTATACACATCCCATATGACTAATGTGTTGGTTTTCAGGAAGTGTTAGAAATCATCTTTCCCTGATCAGAGATTGTATAGTTTCTGAATGTTTTTTTTACCCACAGAGAAGAGAACATGTTACTGTACCTTGTTGTTTACCAGAATACATAGAGATACATTTCCCCTTATTTCCTTTGGTTTCTGTTATGATTGCAAAAAAAAAAAAAAAAAATTCTGCCACAGCACTGAAAGAGTCTTCAAGGCCTTCCATTAATCAATATAGGTATCGATTAGTGGAAATCCAAAAAAAGATAGGAGTGAGTAAAAATAAACAACAAATAGTCTAAACAGCTGAACATTTGTAGAAAGTATTTATCTTTGTGTATTTATGTGGCGCTGTTGTGATTTAACTATATTTCAAATCTGTTGTTTGTGTGTTATTGGGTAAATATTAATCCATCCACACTATGTTTTCTTTCTTTTAAAAATAAATCTCACATCTATAATATGATTTACCACAAACTGTCACATGTAAGTGTTTTACTGAAGATTCACACCCTCATCCCAATTTGAACTTTATGACCCACAGCGGAAATGAGGCTGTCACTCTTCTTGTGTGTTGTTTAACCTATAGCTTCTACGGTGAGCATTGCAGTGGTTATATATATTTTTTGCTTGTTTGTTTTCGTTCTCATAGGAATTCAGAAGAGCTTGGCAGCTCTTCCCCCCAGGACAACATAATACAGTAACTTTGAGAGCTTGTGTCATTATGTGTTATGCGATACTGTATTATTTTGTAACTGTACACACACCTACTAAGGGTAATTTCCCACACTCACACATTACAAGGGCTGTTTTCACTCAATTTTATGTGACTTTTAAGTTTATGAAAATTCACACACGTGTCTCTTGTAGCCTATAATACACTTGTCATACATTAAATCAATATTACAGCTTGTAATAGTTTTATTATCTGAGCATTTGACCAAACCTGTGTTATATAATAAGCTTGATGAATGCAGAATGATAATGACTATTGTTATTGCAGAAATATTAAAAGAAGGAGTTGCCTGACCTGGTGAAAAATTACCATTAAATAGATACATTATCTAAAGCATTATCATTTGTATCAACTTCCGTATTGTTTATACAAGGCAGTTGTGCTGATATCAGCAAATCTAGATACGACATTATTTTTTGTGCTGCTGCATGTGTCACCCACTCACATGAGTCACATTTAGTCCTGGCAATGACAGCACATATGTGCTAATGAATATTGTGCAAGTGTAGAAAATGAAAAATTACTAAGTGGTAACGAAAGACAACAACATATAAAACAAGGGTGCCATCTGAAAAACTGCCAAACTCAAACTGAGGCCAAAACACAAGCAAGGCACACGGACGTGTATTTCTTAATATTAAGTTGCTAAAATCTAGGTGTAAAAATTTGATTTAGGTCCTGGTAATGTTGGTCAAATGGTGAAAATTAAAACAATTTTTTACTTGTAAAGAGTCATTCAAAAAGTATTTAACAATTCCACAATAGGCAAATACTTATATTATTAGTTTTTCTTAAATAAATAGGAGTATTTGTGCTCGGACTATTAAATTATTGATACATTAATTGGGTATTTGAATGTTGGCTCAGGTGGCAATGCAAGTCTACTTCACATGCTCTATTTATGAGGTCATCCTTGTTTTGAATGTAAAGTCTTACTGTATAAGTAGTAAAGCATCTACAGGGCTTAAACTAAACATTTAACATAAAAATGGAAGCACAAAAAGTAACCAATGGGGCATTAACATTAAATATGTTACTTAAGTAAATATTGTAAATGGATTATGTAAGTTCCCACTTCTGCTTCCAGAAATATTGAGACACGAGACAGCCTTAGATTTTCACAGCAATTTACCGCAAGAACACGTTTACGATGGGGAGAACGGGAGAACTCTACAGTGTCTTTTATATCATGCTCATGTGACTACACGGCTTTAAATCATGTCGTTCACCTGCTGATGTAACCAAACAACTGAACTGAGGGTTGTATTTTGAACAATATTATGTAATGTAGAATTTTTATTTCTTCTTTTTTTTATTATTATTATTTTATAAATTATCCTATAAGGGACAAAAGACTGTGAACATTTCCTTATAGATGTAAGAAGCTTCGAGTGAGAATTAACACCCACTGTAATGTGCCATCACCACAGCCCACAGGCCTCTTATGCAGACAGATGGACACACGGGCAGGTTGACTGAAGCCAAACAGGCCTCTCATGTTCAGCTTTTAATAACTGCAGCTAGATATAAATAATTTACCTAAATATAAATCTGACAGCATTAGATACTCTGGAAAATATATTATGAGGCTGTCTCAACGTTGTGGAAAAATTCTCCCCATCTTTCTAACGTGTCCTCAGATTTTCCTCAAACTGGTGCAGAAGGTAAGGGAAGCCAAATGGCTGCAGTGACATGTGTGTTTGTAGCATGGGTTTCTGTGCTTGCTTGCTTGTACGTGTGTGTGTGTGTGTGAGTGTGTTGTGGTTGCCTCACTCTACTTGTTTCTGTTCTGCCCTTGCTTCAGTTGCATGGAAAGTCACTCTTAACAGGGTGGGGCACACACTTACACACACACACACACACCCACACATACATGCTCACACAAACACAAGCTTAAAGGAGCATTCCTGCTGACGGTGGCTCCCAGGTTGTTGTGTTTTTCTTTTTTTTTTCCCTCGGTGACTAAGTGAGTGAGCGCTTAATGCCAAGTTTTCCACTGGGGTTTTTTTTTTTTCTTTTTTTTAAGAGACATGCCAGCGTACATGGTGCTGTTTTCTAGCATGCTTGGACATGATCACACAGTGCTGCGTCAGTGAGGTTTTAAAACAGAGTGTTAAGTATGAGCAGATTGTGGGAAAATATGTAATATGAGAAATGGAGGCAATAGGTTGCAAGACTGGTACTAACCCATAATCATGAATTTCCGCTAGGGGATAAATAAAGTATCTATCTATCTATCTATCTATCTATCTATCTATCTATCTATCTATCTATCTATCTATCTATCTATCTATCTATCTATCTATCTATCTATCTAGGTGTTTAAAGGAGCCATTTGTAAGTTTGTAAGTAAAAGCAAAATGTCATCTTTACACCCTACAATTAGCATGTAAATAAAGGAAATTAATATACTTTCTTTACTGTAAAACATTAAACATAGAGAGAAGAAGATGCTACCTCTGGTCATACAATATATATTTTTCACATCCCTATACTGAGCTTGCACAGCATCTGTGCACTGTGACTGTATAATGTGACTGGATTGTACAGATGGATCATTAACTAAATCAGGCCTGTGTTAGTCAACCATGCAGCATCTGCATTACATCGAATAGTATCAGGCAGCTTGAGCAGGGGTTGAAAACATAGAAAGTCAGCAAAGTTCCTCAGTTACTTTCAGACACCCTCTTAGACAGTCCAAATCTTTATGAAATTAAAGTACAGAAATATAATCAGTAGGAGTAGGAGATTTTGTTATGCAGAGAAATGTCCCCTCATTATTATGGAAGAAGCATTTTACTGTAGATGGTTGTACTGGAGTTAAATGAAACCACATATTTACTGTTGGGTATTTTGATCTATAAAAATGAGACATAACCTAATCATATATTTTATGCAAAAAGAATTTATATCTGCTGAATAATCTGAATATTTATAAATTTAGTTTTAATTATATCTATATATTATATTATGTTTGAAATAGACAATAATGTAGATTATTAAGAGCAGGTTCAACTGTTTTGTCTTCCTTCTGTTCAAAACAACGTAATCATTTTTCTTACAATTCACATCATGACTACATGACTTTTCTAACAATGCTGAGTGGAAATTGTATTCATCAAGAAGCTATTCCTCCCCCAAAAGGAATGAAACTGAAGGGAACTTTTCAGAGTCTGACTCAGCCTGGACAGATGCAACCACCGAGTCATCATCATATGGATCGTATGACTGCCGGGGGGGTCAACATACACAGAGGCTGTTAGGTTTCCGTTTTGATGAAAGAAAATCGATGCTGATGATAGTGACTGGTGTATAAAAGATGCAGTGTTCACAATTTCTTCTGTTTTAAAATTGAAAGAATCAATTTTTGAAATAGATCTTTTTAGAGGTGGACTTCAGATTATACAACTACATGTCTCCTCATAGCACTCTCGTCTCATTTAGTTTCTATTGCCTTTCTTTTTTCATTTCCTTTATCCCTTTATCCTGGGCCCGGTTTCACCTAAAGCCCCTGACAGATACAGCTTGACCAGCCTGTGCCTCTAATAAGTGATACTTTGCAAATATTTAACCTTGCCCTGCATAACATTGCTATGGTGACATGCCAAACATTGCACACATAAGCAGGCACAGGTTCAGCAGTTACTTAGCAACAGCCATGGAGCAGGTTTTTAACATGGCTGCCGCAGAAATGTGAT